GGGCAATAAAACTTAGGTTCCAATTGTTTGAATCAAGTGTGAGGAAGGAATTTTGCACACTATCTCAATATTCTCTAACAAAATTATGTTAATCGGTATAGAATATCAGTATCTGTTCAATCACCACCTTGAGGATTCTGAAACTGAGTCTGTAGCTAAGACCATTTACCCCTTTAGTGATAAATTTTGTTCTATCATGTTGACACAACTTCTATGTGTATTGAGTTGGTTGTGATTTAGGTGTGCTCATACAAGAACCGCCCATGAAACCATCATTCAGACTGGAATGTATAAAACTTGAGTAATTCATTCTCTCATTAGTAATTTGGGCTATCTATAGTTACACAGGCTTATAGAAGCTTCTAAAATGACATAATTTTTGTAGTTTTAGGTATACAGTCTAATAATAGAAATAACCAAGCTAAGATATGGAAATTGGTTCATGGAATTGAGATTTTAGATTTTGTTGGCTGAAAGACAAAGAATAGCAGAGTCATGCCTGATTAATTTCAGGGAAACATTCAAGGAAGTTGCACAAAGTGCTTAGAGTCATGCTGTGCTTTGAAGAAAGAGAAAGACACTACCCGGCACACTCTCAAGTACAGATACCACCCTGAAGGCCCCACACTATGTGGGTTCATCTACATGGATCAGGCATTAGCAACTCTTTCTGTAACTACGTCTGATTTAGGAGTAAAGAGGAAACAATGTTTGATGGGGGCTGGGCTTGACAGAGTAAGGTGTAAGCTAGTGACAACATGGGGAAGAGAGGGTAAGGGATGAGCAGTGTCTTGCTCAGAGAACATGAAAACACAGAAAATTGGGTCTTGTTTTCTTTCTTCCCTAATCATTTACACACCTGTCTTAGCCAGTCAAGAACCTAAGGAACTTTCAAAACTCATGTTTAGTTAGTTTTGTGTATATGAGTGTAATGCCTGCATGTAGGTAGGTACACCTGTGTTGTAGAATGCCTGTGGAGGACAGAATAGGCTGTCGGATCCCTTGGAACTGGAGTTATGGATGGTTGTTAGCCGTCATGTGGGTGCTGGGAACCAAATCTGGGTCCTCTTCAAGAGTAGCCAGTGCTCTTAACCACTGAGCCATCCCTCCGGCCCCACGGTCACATTCTCTTACAGCACAGCTGTGGACCCACCACCTCACTCAGCAGCGACAGCAAACTGGACAGAACACAGAGCTTGGTGGTTTTGCACATTTCTTTGTGGCTTGGTTTTTGTTTCTGTTGATTTACTTTTGCTTTTTTTTTTTGCTGGAACTCTTTGTAAGAATTTGCAAAAAGCATTGCTGTGCTTGAGGATGAGATTTTGTTAACTTCTTACTGCCCCGTTTTGCTTTGCTTTGTGTGAAGAAGCACAAACTCACACTTTCTGACTATAATACTGTATCCTGACACCACGGCCACTACACAAGAGGAAGAAGAATGCAGCTACAAGTGCTGACGTGGGAGTGCTGAATCCATAGATGCATTTCCTAGACTCAGGTATCAGGGTCTGCCTCAGAGTTGTGGGTGACAGCTGAACTGAAGTGGAAACCGAAACAGTCTGAGATATAACAGGGGAGATGGATACAGAGGCAGCTTTTAGAAAGGTGTGTCACCGGTAGCCTTTACCACATTATATAGCCAAGAACCTCAACTGTATTTCTAAGCACCCCAGTATTTCCCATGGCCACTGTTGCCTATTTATTAAGGTGCACAAAGCAGATTTTATGTGGGAAGATTTGAGTAAACTCTGGAATTCTGACTATGCCAGATTGTTGGTTTATTTGTTGATGATGGTGCCCTCTCCATCAAAATGATCCTCATGCCAGAGAGAAATGTTGTTACTAATGTCTAGTTATAAAGTACTTCCTCTTAATTAACTACACGAACTCACATTAAAACAGGAGGGTTATAGGTGCCATGTTGAATTTTAAATCATTCCTTTTACAGTGGATTAAGCATAGTACACCAATTTATGATCACTTGGTTTCTATAGGGACTCTTTTAATCTGACACACTGGAATGCACAGTGTTCCTAAGCGTTTTACGTTTATGAAAGTGATGGAAAGGTGGCAGTGAAATAAAATCAGAATAGTGTCCTATCGTTAAAGTCAGCAGACCTAAAGTGGCACATGTGAACTCCACTGTGCAGGATAAATGAAAATGAAATACTTTTTCACAGCTTCCATGACTGCAACCAGAATGAAGGGGTCGTCTACACAGTGCTTCATAAATGTCCCCAGAAACATCAGGGCTATGATAGTCAATGGACAGTTGGGGAAATGATAACATATTAGATTATTTTCTCAGGTTATCTCCAGAAATATATTTAGTTTATAGTGTTTGACCAATCTAATTTATATCCTGTCCATGATATATGATAGATTTCTAGAATGTTCTTCTATGCGACATTTCTGACAGTGTAAATGGCTATTTCCTCTCTGTGTAAAATGATATAAACAAAGCTTGTGGTTCTTTAGAAGAATTGAAAGCAAATACACAGATTCTCCTTTTGAGCCCTATCCTATCACCAGTTATTGAAATGGGGTGTATTTCCAATGAGGATGATATATATATGTGTATATGTGATATATATACATAGATATGATATTTTTTTCCTCACATAGATTTTCTTAGCAGAGAACAACTGTGTGTTTAGAACAGTTGCTCAGATAAATCTTTATAAAAATAGAGGACTAAATTGGATGGGTCTTAGAAGTACTGTTTTTCAGCCTTAGGGTGACAGAACACATTGCTTATTGAGCAATAATTGATTCATTATATATAATAATTACATATATATTTACTGCACAGAATAAACATTACTGACCTCAGTGAGCATGACCCACCTTCCAATATCCTCAACAGTAGGAGGACTGTCAGCTTTAGTTCAGACATTTTTCTAACATCAACATGAGGATTGCGGTGTTTCTAGCCTGTTCCATCCAAACTGGCTGCTAACCATCCTTTGTCTACTGTGAGTGAGTGTATCTGAGTTTCTTGAAAAGATTCATTTGGAATTATCCTTATGAGAATACTCTGCCCTCAGACTATATAGCCTCCTGGACATATGTTGGCCCTCTGTCCCCAGGGGGTATAAAACAGAGTCCTAGGACCAGTAAAGAGTGGGTAGACAAGGGCCTAGAAATCTTGGAGTTAACAACTTGTCTTCTCCACATGAAGAGTATTGCTCTACTATCTCCATAAACCTCAGGGTTCGAACACAGCTCAAATAATAAAAGAGATCACAATTATAACAAGTAATTTGCATATATAATTGTTTCCTAGTCATATACTTAGAGAACTTAAAAACATTCATTAACCTGCACAGACTATTTTGGAAATTAATTAATATATATCTTAGCTAAGTTATAAAAACTATAATGCAGCCCCAAATCCCTGAACAGAAAAGAAATATATTGCATTCAATAGATAGAGTTACTAGTGACTTTGCATACTGGGATAAGAAAATGCCCACTGTAGGGTTTCAAGACAGCAAATACTTCCAGGTCATTAAACACTATAGAAGTTTAGGTTTTAGATCTGATCTCAAATTGAAAATTCTGGACACACTGTGCTCCTAATTTCAGTGTGAGCCTGTAACAATATTTTCATGCAGTGTTGAATAATGTGAGTAGGTCTTTGTTTTAGCAGAACGTGCAATGGAAACCTATCTGTATATATATGGTGATTGCTAGCTCTGAAGGTTAGAGCTATTCCAGCCATCATGAGGTGATTCACTTAGTTAAAAGTCACATCAATCAAACTGCAGAGGAATATACTTAAAAAAAAATATCAAAGCCACAAAATTCAGGGTTTTCCTTGCTTTGTGTTTATACAATAAGAAACATGTTTGGCAAAATGCCCTCATACATCTTTGCCAGTACCAGGAATTTGCTTCTGAGAGGGGCAGTCGGCTCTTAGAAGGTGTCAGCTAGAAACAGGAAGGGGAGTTGCTAACAACTCATTTAGTGGGATGCTATTTATTAGAGTGCAGTTTAAGGTTGCAGACACTACCTATGTTATATTGTTAAGTATTCATTTGAAAAAGGATCCAATGTAGCAAAGTATTATGTTATAACTGATAGGTGTTAGAAGATGGCAAAAAGATCATTCCTGAATCTTAGTTACAGTTGTTTTTGTTACTAGAAAATTCCGTTTCCTCTGGACTCCATGTTACATTAATTAAATTCAAAATATATATTTACTAAGCATTGTGCAGACACACAATGCTTTCTCAACAGCTGAAACCCTTGGTTATATGTTCTCTCCTTCTGAGAGCTAATCTCTCTAAATAAGTAAAACTATATTAGATTAGTAGGTTAGCATTACATAATATACCAATAATACAGTAGCAGATTCCATAAACCTAATCATGTTGTGTGAAATGCAATTATCTAGAAGAAGAGATATGTATAAAAATAGGTAATATCCCTAAAATATTTTGCTGAGTTACAGTTCTTCCTTCTTGGAGGTTTAACCACACTGTCATGATACACACACACACATATATATA